CAGTCATATAACATCTACAATTACCTTCTTCTCTTTTTTCCATCGCCCGTGTCCTAGGAAACTTGGGGTATTACCACCTCCGGCTCAAACTAAATCAAACCCCACTGTGTGGGACCATTATTATCAATGGCAGCCTCACAGTTATCTCAAGAATACCTTTGATATATTTATTTAATGCAACTATATATTTTAGGACTCAAACACGAGACCCATACCAAGCTAGTTCAACTCCCTTGACCAATTAAACAAAGCACCCTCAGTACAATTACTATAGCCAAACTTAATGCACTACCAATAACTATCCATGTTCGTATCAGAATATTCCACTCAGGCAAATTCTACTCTATGAAATATTTTCATATTCACAACTATTGCTCCTACCTTGGATAAATAATAATACCAAAAAACAAACGCGAAGGAAACTAAAAGAAAAGCAGAGTCGAAGGTTTACTTGCAAAAACAGTCTGTTTGGCATTATGACAGCGAGTTCAAGAAGATCAGGGTTGATAGACGCCAGCCCATCAGGCTCCTTCAGTTTTCTCTCAAGAAACTTTGCTAATGCCGCCGCTTTGTTTGTGGTCACCGGTCCACCAGGATGAGCCAACCTTCATGGACATATAGGCAGTCGGCAACACAAAGTTAATACCAGAACAACAAACACTTAAAGGACCTGAGAAAAAAGGAATTAATAAACGAAGAATTCGATCGAAAGCTTTTTATCTTCATTTTGAACAAACAAAATATGTTCAACAGCTTACGATGGAAGCATGATTGTTTGCGAGCGTGAATCTGAAGGAGAAAAAGAAAAGGATGCAAGAACCTGGGCTGGGAGCTGGAAGGGCGAGATTGACAAGGAAGAGGCGCGAATTTACTGCCACGAAGTGCGCGTCTTTCATCTTCGCTTAGAGTTTCGATCTCTTTCACACATTCTCTCTGGCTCGTTCGCTCGGCCACCACAACGATCCGACCACACCTGCACCGGCGGTTTAAACCAGTTTGGCCAAATAAGTAAATTTACATCCCAGCTAGGCCTAATTCAGCGTCGTTTCATTTTATTGTTTTTCAATATATAAAGTGTTTCAAAGTTATTTATATTATTACATTTTTTTTAATGTAAAGATCAAATATTATTATATTATCATGAATAAAATGAGTACACAAGGCAAGTTTAATTTTTTTACTACAAAAGTTGACATGAGTTGAGTTTTAAAGACTCATCAAATTCAAAACATAAGTTTAAAATTTTTTACAGAAATATTTATATTTATCAATAGAGTTCTCATATTGATAACATGATTAAACCTATAAAAAAGTAAACAATCTTGAAAGTAAAAAAGATAAACTTGAAATCTAAGTCAGGAGTTAGAACTCATAAGAACCAACTTGGGCCTAACATGATAAGATAACAATAAAAAGAAACACAAATATTAAGCTGGAAAGAGAAATCATCATCAAAGTTGTGATTCTAAAACAAACATGTACGTTATTTGTTGTTGAAATATAGAACGTAGGAAATTAGTAAACAATAGAAATCCAAATAGTAAGATGAAAGACTCCAATAATAAGAAAGCTTAAAACCAGTAAAAGTCCAAATTAGACGATTAATCACTAATGTTGGGTTTTGGCCCAAAAAATGTTGGGCCTTCAAAAGCTCCATACCAGTTGCTTAGCCCAAACCTTGCTTCCTGGGTCGGACTAGGACACGTACCAAAAGAGTTGGGGCTCTATATTTGACAGACACTTCCAAGTATGAATAATATATTTAAAAATTTGGTTGCCTACAGAACAAATTAACTCGTGCAATCCATGAAACCCGGGATAAAGTTTGCTATGGTTATCCTCGTTCATAAAAGCATTTTAAAGCACTTGTCTTCCATTACTATATTCCATTGAAGGTTTAAGTGTAAAAATATTCAATAATTTTTTTGAACAATAGAGGCAAAAATACTCATCAAATGATTAATCAAAAACATCCAATAGTTTAAAATAAGAAAAAATGATAAAATACTCATGATGTTATCAAAATTGGTGCAAAAAATAATCAACCCCTAAACTTGCCTTAACGTTCATTATTTTTGATGTTAAATGCTAACTATGCTTATTATATGTCAATATTTGCTAACATAAACTAAAAAATAGGCAAAAATATCCATGAAATCATAAGCAAGAAGTATCCAACAACTTAAAGTGAAAAAAAAAAAGTAAAAGTACTCATAATGATACTTTAGTAGGTGCAATAGTAATTAATCTATCAAATACATACCACGTGATTTCTTTCTATCATTATGTATCCTACCCCTTCCTCCCTTCCTTTCTACTCATTTTTCTTATTTGCAAAACTTAAGATTTAATACAGTAAGATAAATTGCACACAATTGAAGATTGAGAGCAAAGTAGCTATGACTTGCTACAAAGAACACAAGCACTCCATGAAGGAGGTTGTCTCTACTCGTAATGCTTTTGAGACTACACATGTCTCCTACATTACCTACCTCAGAAACATTCACACAACCTTGCCCTTAAGTGATTTCGTTCACAATGAGGTTCAAAATCCTTAATTGGCTTCCTGTATTGCTGCAAAGAAGCGAGAAATTTAATTTGCTATTTCGTCAAAACATTTTCCTACATGGTATTCATATGATAACTGATCAACATGTAAAAAATTCTACCTAAAAATATTTTTTTGTCCATATCAAAAAAAAACTTAACTTTTACTCATGTGTCAGTGAAATAATCAACATTTAAAGGATTTAATGGATTAGTCACTATTGCACCTACTAAAATAACATTATAATATTCTTCCCTTTTTTTCACATTAAGCTACTGGATGCTCTTGGCTTACGGCTTCATAGGTATTTTTACCCCATTTTTAATTCATGTTAGCAAACATTAACACGTGGCAAATATAGTCAGTATTTAACACCAGATATTAACGAATGTTAAGGCAAGTTAAGGGTTTGGTCATTTTGGCACCAACTTTGATAATATTATGAGTTTTTTTTTTATTTAGATTATTGGATGCTTCTGGCCGACCACTTGCTGAGTACTTTTGCCCTTTTACGCTAAGAACATCCAATAATTTTTAAGTGAACGAAGATTGAAGAATACACATGAACTTATTATAATAAGTGCAACATTATAACATTCCCCATTCTATTAAATTTGACTTTTGTCCATCAACATTGATCATTTAAAAAAGGAAGTAAATAAATATAAGATATAAAAATACTCATAAACTTTTTTTTTCTAAGAGCTTCTATTATCTTTAAATCAATAATGGTACATAAGTATCCATTAACTATAAAAAAGCCATATAGCCTAGCTTGGCCTAACCAACTTAGGCTAGCCCAAATACCTAAATTATTAAATATTACTTTATTTTATTTTTTTAAGTCAATTTCAATTTTTATATAAAAATTTTATATTTTTAAAATCTAATTTTGATTTCACTTTATTAATAACAAAAAAAAATTTGAATATTTAGGCTAAACCTATTAGAGTTTAGGCTTACCTCAAATTTCTTTGGGCTTATTCAATAGTCCAAATAAGCTCGAAATAAAAAAAAAAAAAACTCTCAAGCCAATTCTAAAATTTTTCAGGCTTATTTAAATTAGTTTGTAAAGATTAACCTAGATTATTAGCTCTAACCTTTCTCAATTCATTAAAATAACTTAACATTGACCATAAAATTTTAAGAATATAAACTTAATGAATTATGAAAAATTAGCCTACTTTATAAATTAATGGAGACCCATTCATCATTATTGACTTGAGAATATCAAAAGCTTTTGAAAAAAAAATTTATGAATTTTTTTGCACATTATATTTGCATCTTTTTTTAAGAGTCAATGTTAATGGGACATTAGTCAAATTTAACTGAATTGAGATTATTGCATTCATTAAAACAAGTTCATGAATGTTTTTGCATCTTTGTTTACTTAAAGATACTAGGTACTCTTGAGGGAAAAAAATACTAAATATTTTAACTCTAACATTAATCATTAATATGGTCCATTCTCATACATTAAAAAAAAGGATAAAATTAGAAAAATGAAATACCAACCACTAAACTGCTTTCCTTGATAATAGGGAAAAAATCTTATTTAAATTTTGCTCATCAATGTGCCCACAATTGTTGTGATCCAACGATCGAATATTGTCATGTCATTTAAGGGTTCCAACCAATCCCTTCTCCCCCAACTCCCAACTTTTCTACCATTAATCTGAATTTTAATGACTAAAAGTGCTTGTATTATAAAATTATTATTATGTTAAACAATAAATTTATTTATAAGAATAACATTAAATAATATATTATAAAATTTGACAGCTTACATTTATTAGGTTATTTCTTATGCAATACTATTATTATAATAATAATAATTTTATAATACAATAAATCTCAACCATTCAAATTTGAAATCCAAGAGTAAAGTAGTTGAGAGGAGACTGGAGAGGAGGAGAGATTGGCAGAACGGAAGCCTGTAAAGTGCAAACCAAGCATCTTAATTCACGAAAGGTTTAAATAAATATTAAATACATTACAGGCCTACGACATTTTCAAATAAATAAATCACAGATTTTTATTAAAATTAGTTAGTTAATAGTTTATACTACTAAGTTTATCAAAATACCGTCATAACTTTTAATAGTACTCTTCATTAAAATCTTTATCTTCTATCCTGAAGTTAAATTGAAAAGAAAAAAATTTGAATGAATCCCAAGTATATTCTGTTACGAAACATGTAAAACTTGTAAAAATACAGACAAAAATTAAAGCCTTATAAATAGAAACAAGAGAATAAATAATAAAAAATAGCAAGACATGGTGTATTCAGTACTGTTTAAAAATGTTCATTCTTCGTTACGCAAGAATAGTTTAATTGTTTATAAATTCCATAAGACGTATTGATGTATTGTTCAAAACCTTAATGGGACTAATTACAGTAGTGTTTCCATAAGTGAAATTATAAAGACTATCATCATACTTTGAAATCATATTTGAACAATAACTCCGCCCAATGCTTGATATTATTTCTCATTCTCATTAAGCACTCTTGAACAGTTAACAACAAAATTGAAGGGGCAAAAATGCCACAACATGGAACTCATTCTCATCATATATAGGATAACAGAGCCTACCCTTAAAATCAAGCTTAAAATCCTCCGTTCAAGTTCCATAATAGAAGACCAAGGAGCCTTACCTCAGTAGGTGAAAACCGACTGATAGGTTTTCCATAACAGAAATGAATGAAAATAATTCATTCAGCTTACATTTGCCCAGGAAAATCTCAATGTACACTGAAATGAGGAAAATGAAGGTGGGGAAATTAAACCATATTGTACCAGCTCAGGAGTTCTCTTCAAAGACCAAAAGCTGATAATAAACTATACAAAACACCAGAATTTCAATATTCTTCCTCCCATAAATTATCTTCCCCAGTCTTCATATCTTCAACACAGTACAGAATGACTACAGATCTTAAGCTCCCATTTTTTCTTGTATTTATACTGGGAGCACGATGAGGATAACAAGGGATGGGTAAGATAAATAAAAATGGGGCCAAACTCTCAATTTACAGACCTCTTTCTCTAGCCTAAAATCATTAAAACAAGGCAATAAAGCAAGAGGCCAATCCAATAATATTTTAAGTGAAGAGATCAAATTACCAGTTAAGAGAAAAAAAGAGGGCATAGGAAACCTTTTAAAATGGCTGAGCAGGTGGTGTTGCTTGAATATATGCACAAATGTCATAACCACTGCACAAACCATTGTAATTCTTCATTTTCCATTCTAAGTCTAACCAAGGAAGAACTTGAATATGTCACTCAGTGAAACAATGCCCTCTACTCGCTTGCTGCCAGCTTCCACGACAACTAAACGCCTAACGCCTGAATTTCAGAGTCAACATAGCAGATATTTCTCAGCTGAGTAATCCTATAAATGAAAGCAACTTGGATATATGGAGAAACTACGACATGACAAACAAGAAGCACCAATACAAATTCATGTATCAGATACAATATAGCATGATATGGTGGATAAGGTAATTTTCAAAATTTTAGGATACAGGTACAGAAATATTTATAATATATATCTCAACATTTTATTATATAAGCATAGGTATTTTGATTTTTGAACAAGAATTTCTAAATTAATATAAGAATATTTGTAACAATCAGTCAAAATATTAATTTTTTTTTTTGGAGTTTTTAAGTAATATAGAAAAACTTATTGGAAAAAAAAACATAATACAAATGTTAGAATATATGATACACATACTGAAATATCCTACTAGTATTGTATCGGATACAAATACATTTACTTTTTTGAAATATCCGTGCTTTATACTCAGGAGCTCTTCTGTTTATGCCGTAACAAGTCACTGATTATCACCAATACTTTTCTTTCTTCAGAATCATTGCATACCAAAGATGGATTCCGCAAAATTGGTTTCAAGATTTTCTTTATCAGATATGGAATGTCCTGTTTTTACTAGAATTGAACAGATTCAAACTATCAACAATAATAACAACTAACCTCATCTCACAGGTAGAGTCAGCAAACAAATTCAAGCTATCGTTCCATCTTAATGAGAAAGCCCACTTCTTACACCTACTTCCTTCTTTCAAACAACTTCAAGTTTACTTTTTACATGTTATTAAACCTGTTAACTTTGTTTTTTTTTTAAATACAATTTCGAGATACATTCTCCAGTCCAAACGTGTAAAAACGACTACATATTTTTATGCACACCCACGTGGGTAACCATTGCTAGAAGAAAAGTCCCCAAGCACTCCTGATTACGCGTAGTCTGTCCTGTTTATGTGTTTTTTGGTAAAATTCCAAGGGGAATGAAACTTACAGTTTTAGAGACAAGGAATTAGAGAACTGGGCTAAAAGAGAAGACAATGTCCCACAAAACAAAAATGTAACCGTGAATGTCCATTCCATTTCATCAAAGAGCAAAGAAACAAACCTACCTGGATTTGCCAACCGTTCCATCACTTTATGCAGAGAATCAGATCTCAGACACATCTGACATCGCTGACTTCTAAGATCGTATGAATGATATGAGTCCTGGCCTAACTGCAGAGCCTAGAGAAATATGCAAGAGAGACTAAGAACCAAGAAGAAAATCACCAAATAAATGTCAATCTGATTTCAGCAAAAAATAAAAAGGAAAAAAAAAAAAAGACAGTACACTTCTGATTGAAATTGATAAGGCTTGCAACATTAGCTACATACTGAAATTGACACTAATCTTACTATTTATAAGTGCAATTTTCCTTTCCCATTTTCAGTTAAAATCCTCAATTAGTAGCCATAAAGAACAAACAAGGGACAACTGGACAAGAAGAGAGTCGCATAAATCCTGACCACAATGCGTTTTATAATCGTATGTTTTAAAAGCAAACGAAAAAAAAGGAAAACTACTGAAAAATCTATCAACTGCAAGAAAACTTCCCCCACCGTCACAGAATGTGACAGCCTAAATGGGGGTCGATTTTTTTTTTTTTGGTGGTAAAAAAATATCTTCATTAATAGGTATTCCTAATATTTGGTTGCTTAATCGGTTAAAAAAGACATAAATCTCTCTACGTTTCCATTAAATTATGAATGAGATAAGGAACATCAATAGGGAAATTTTATATCTATCAAGATTTTCAATTTTATTTAAATTAAGATATTTAGAATATCTTTTAAGCAAATTTGGTTGTATTAAATTCATATATATTATCTCATCTCAGATTTAATTTATAAATTTGAATAAAGTTAATCATATCTATAAGAATTGCAGTTCTTTTTTTTTTTTGCCAAAAAATTGCAGTAGTTTAGATTAACTAGAATTAGGGCTCAACAGCCTTCACTTTAGACCTTTTGATTATTTGATAAAACTGCAGTACTTCGCCATCTACTTCAACCAACCAGGAGATCTCTCTAGCAGTCATAATCAACCAATAGCCAAGAAAAGCAAATCATTTTCTCTTTTGGAGGCATAAAACTCAAATATTTGAAGAATAAAGAAAGTTGTGCATTTCAATAAAGGACTAATATTCTAATTCTAACCATCTCCAATTCAAAGGATCCTACTATTTATGATATGACCAGTTCTATCAACTCTTAATAACACCACATATCAAAACCTCACAAGAGCAGCTAAGTTTACCAACAAAAGGATCAAATAGAAGCACAAGTTTTCATTTACTTCATAACTTTATTGTCAATATAAGTTTATAGCATGCGAAACAAGCTCAGGGAAAATGAGAAACAAAGCATACCTGATGGATAGTCATTTCATCAAAATTGAGGCGTGTATAAGCCCTGTCCTTTGCCAAAGCTGTTATATCACTATCAATATAAGGGGAGGGCAACTGTGAGAAACACTACAAGCGGCTGAAAAGAATTAACTTCCAGGACAATTCATGCTCGAACTAAAGATTAATTTTAAAGCAATTTGAAGGTTCAGTCAACCATTGCATCAAGAAGAATGATAATATGGATATGAAAACACAACTAACCTTCGGCAATATATATCTAGTAATGAATCATTGTCATCCACTATCGGTATAGAACTTATTTGGGCTGCAAAAAGTAAAGGACAAGATGTTGATATAAGAATAGCTATTTCATAATAAAAGTAAATGTTTTCTTATCCTTTTTTGATGATTAGAAAATGGAATTACCCTTATTCCTAATTAACCTAAGCATTATCAGTATAGAACTTACTTGGGCTGCAAAACAATTGAGAAATCAACCTTCTCAAAGTAGAAAAAAGTGTACTCTGCCATTACACTAATACCTCAGAAGGTTGATGTGGTGTACCAATTTCATTATTATTTCAACCAATAGACTTTCTTCTTTATATATTATTTTCATATTTTCAAGGTCAGAAGACGAAATCAAACCTTGAACTAATAAATTTAGGGCTGAAGTAAGAGATGCACTAGGTCTCAACATAGCTAAAGGTCGCCTATTTGATTCCCCAATTTTGGGCACCCATGTTCCCACAGGAACTGCACAAATCGGTAATTGGAGTATAGGCAATGAACTAGAGCAATGCCTAAAATACCTGCAAATGCCTGAAAATTAATTTGGTAAGATTCAAGCAAACTTGAGAAGAGTACAAAGAAACCCATCTTCAAGGCTTACAATTAAGTATTCCAGAAAGTGAAGCCAGATATAACAGCTGTGGAAATGAACCATCTTCAGACTTCGAATGGATGACAGGAACTGTTGAAATCTCATTTTGCAGGATCTTTGTGGCAATATCTTTCAAATTATCAAACGGTCTTGCCTGCAAAACAAATACAATAGTTGATACATAAATAAAACTAGGAATTCTTATCGCTTGGTGTATTATTGGATACAAGCAGTATGACTTAATGGCTTTACAAAGCCACCTATAACACTTACATGGATAAAACGTCTTGAAAAGGTTGTTCCATGTCCATTGCGTTGCCTGTTTAGATATAATTTTCCTTCTTTCCAAGAAGATATAGTATGTGTTTCAAGCTCTTCTTCTGTTAAATTGGATCCATGATTCTTAAGCTGTGAATAGGCCAAAAGCATGGTTTCAACAGCATTAGAAAACATAAAGGCACTGTCAAGCATGCAGTTGGAGGGTCAATTTACTCAACTTCACAAGCAACCTTGTAACAAGAGACTACTGCAGGCACCATGTAAAGCAACTAAATCTATAGTTTCCACTAATTCTCAACATCAACACCTCAAAACTAGCTAACACGCTTTCATTCCTCTTAATATACAGATAAAAAATAATTCATAAATAACAATTAAAGAATGACCATATCCTCTCTTTTCCTGACATATTTGACCATGCCTTCAGGATTCTCCACTTACATAGTTATCATCTCCTTGTTTCAACTTCAAGCTTCTAAAGCACAACATTAAAAATAATAATATTCTTCCTTCCAATAGATATGAAATGCATTAAGATTTTAGAATACTTGCCCGTAAAGAGCTAATGATCATAAAATTCACAGACCTCTCTCAAAATTAAAATAAAATCCAAAGGACTAAGAACGCCAACAAAATGCCCCTGGCAGAGGTCCCAGAGAGGAGCAATAGATATTCCCTGCAAAATGGCCCGATTCAAAACAGGCACATAAATAAGCTTCTAATCAGAAACAGAAAAGAACACAGGGATACTAGACATTACTACACAATGCATATGGAACCATAAGGAGAGACTAGATCATTGCAATAGCTAGAAGCTACAAGAAAGACAAGTTTAATTCCAGAAGATTCAAAATTACATTATGTTATTCTCAATGCTTTTACAATAAAAACATGTTAATTGGCACGAGAATAATCTATCAATGTTTTAGCAAAGGTTACCTAAACATGAAATCCCTCCAAGTAAATTCCAGTCGCAGGAAATATAGAAATACCTGCTCATGCAATATATGAAATGCATGCTTCACTGGCAGATCAACATCTACTGCAATAACCTGTGACCAGGTGTCATTCAAATAACCATTAACTAATTTGTGGCATGAAGTTTGACAACGGAGAAGATGCAAAGCTCAATATAATTAAACATCCAAACCTTGCCTGACTCAGGAAGTAATTCATAAGCTGTGTGCATTGACAAGAAAGCAGAAATACGCTGGCGGGAGGTCTGTACATAAGCATCTGACATTCTAGGCAATGCCCCAGTCAACGTACCATCTGTCAACTGAAGCTGTATTATAGGTCAGCAACAAATTAAATTTAATAACTGAAAATGATAGTCAAATATAAATGAACAGGTATAGGAGATAGCTCATGAGAAGAAAATGGAGTTCTAAAAGGGAAACATAATACGTTAAAAAAAAAAAAACATTGCACAAATGCTGTTGCATATACAAATTACAATTGTTAAGACAATCCAAACAGGCTGCATGTTCAAATGCAAATCTAAACAGAAAAAGTTTAATGGACCTATATAGAAATCTAATTCACCAACTCTATCAGCTCTAAGTGGGTTTCAAAATGGACGCCAGAATCCAGACATATCATAGCATTAAAAAATTTTGTTGGTCAATTTCGTGAAAATTACAATATAAGCAAAAACCAGTAAACAGCCATACACTTCACTCAGAGTGTTGTTCATAACAAAAATTTGGACTCTATAGGCATGACCAACTCTTACCATGCGCCGGATAGCCTCATTATCCACATCCATGCTAGAACCAGAAGCTACTTGTGGAGTTGGAATAGGCATTTCATTAGGATTAGTAGCCACAAATACAGTATTAACCACCCCATTTTCTCCAGCTACATGAGGCTGATGCTCATCATGTCGCCATTCTCCATCAATACAAAACTTGTACTGCATTCAAATAATTAAATGCATTAAGCACCCAAAAAATTGGAGTCAAACGTTTTCTCATAATAGCATTTTTTTTTTTATTTTACTAGTGAATCCTTATATTCAGATACTTCCAAACTCAATCATCGGGTTGCAATATCCCTGCTCAGGCAACAATTATTGCAAGATCAAGAAAAATATGTTCTTTCCATCACAATTTGTTTCTCTGCCTGGCATGCCTCTACAGAATGCAGTGCCTCAACTGCAAGTCCAAACGGCACCATTCAATTAAGTGTTGATCCGTCCTGGCAATTCAACCACGGACATCATCCTGACCGTCCATTTCTTTTTAACCTTTCTTCCGGTGCCAGAGGCGAGCCAAGCAGAGAACCAGTTCGCCTTTCCATTGACAACAGATGAACAGTAAAACAAGTGATGAACACGTGGAATCCCACCACAACATCCTTTGTAACGATTTGCAGTAAAAAAATCTTAAATCCAAAAATCAAACCACTTAATTCACAAATACATTGAATTCAAGGGAGACTTTTCCCCTAATTCATATGGAACCTTACACTGATGAATACTTACTTCCAGCACGAAAAACTGACCTCATGATAACCAGGGGACAAGCTATGAACGGCTTGAAATACAGTCGGACAACCCTCAACTGACGACATGCGTAGAAACTCAGACCACCTTTGAAACGAAAATTGAATAAAAGAAAACGAAATAAGCAAACTAACATGAATCGCACGAAAACCCTTAAATTAGGCTAAACTACAGCATTTTGAAGAGCTGGATAAAGAAGAAGAAAATGGCCATAGTAGTAATTAGCCATAGACGCACCGTGTGAATGAACCACATAGATACACTTCTCTTCCCCCATATGGCCATACAAATAGCCTGGGAATTGGCAACGTCCCTGCAACACCACCTGCGTTCCTAGAAGGATCCATGCTCGAACTGTACGGGTAAACTCTAATCCGTAACGTTACTCTGATTATAGAGTCCAAGAACCAGGCTTCATCGCAGCATGTTCTATGTGAATGTATATTTCAAGGTGCTTTGATATGAAATCCCCCAAAAAAAAAAAAGAATCAAAATAAAATCATCAAAATATATTCTTAAAAAAGCCCAAAAATTTAAGCTTTATTTTCCAAAACAAATTGCACTCGTTGCTCTCTGCAAATTAAAAATATCAAACAGATACCAAAAGGATACTGTCATTTCGCATGCAACAGTACGCAAAACCCTAAACCAAATGAAAAACCTACCAAATCCACACCGGAATATCTGTCAAAACCAAGCTGAGAAACTCTCAAGAGAACATAATCGAAACCCTATGGAACCATTGAACAATGGGGATGAGCATATTGTGAATTGAGAGAAGAATAAACCAACACGTTGGATATAAAACTAAAATATAAGGGAAATCGGGACTTGTAATTGTGAGGAAAGCTCCGAATGTTATTTCCCCATCCCAACATATACCGATACAGATATAATAGATTAATATAGGAAGGGGAGCAGTGGACCAGTAATAAAGCAAGCCATGACCAGCAACCCTCAACTTTTTTATTTTCTATTTTGATCTAAAAATATATAGTACGAGTTTCACTCAAAAAAAAAATTATATAGTACTATCAACTTTTTTATTTTCTATTTTGATCTAAAAATATATAGTACGAGTTTGACTAAAAAAAACTATATAGTACTAGTAACTATAATTATGATATTTTATATTTTATAATTGTGTGCATAGAGAGAGGCCAGGTGTGAATGGACATTTGAGCATCAAGAAGGTGAAAACTAATTGAAAGGATAAAAATTATTTTTTTGATGGCATAAAAAATATTTTATTTTAATCTATCTATATATATAAAAAGTTAGAATTACAAATAACATTCGAGTAATGACATGTGTCCTTAATACAATTTTGATTGATATATTTATTTTAAAATTTTTAAATATAAATAAAACTACTTCCTTGAAATATCTTTATATTATTCTAACTTCTTATTAACCTACTTATTTACAATCTCAAATTTTTAATTTTAATTTTAAAAGGATAAGTCTCATTAACTTACTTATTTACAATCTCAAATTTCTAATTTTAAAAGGATAAGAAAATTATTTATATCTTCCTCATCTCCAAAAATGGCTCCATTATCCAAACTTTACAACTTCTTACGTATAATTTTAAATATTTTCTGTTTTTAGAATTTTATAAAATTTGAGATTTTAATTTTAAACATTTTGTGAAATTATGACTAAATTTATTAATTTTAAAAATGATAGTAGCACCATAAGAAGCATTCTCAAAATGACATTGTCCCTAATGTAATTTAACTTTATTTATTTTTTTATTTTTAAATTTTAAATATAAAGAAAACTATCTCACCTTCCAAATATCTCTATATTATCTCAACTTCCTATCAACTTATTTATTTATAATTTGAAATTTCTAATGTAAAATAATAATGAAATTATGTGTATGCTCCTCATCTCCAAAAATCTCTCCACTATCCAAACTAACCAACTTCTTACCCATGATTTTAAATTTCAATTTTAAAAATCTTGTGTTTTAAAATTTTAGAAAAATTTTACAAAAAACTCATAATTTAAAATTTTTATTTTCAAAATATTACTATACTTTTAATTTTAATTACTCATAATTTAAAATAAATATAAAACTCACCCATCCCTAAATATCTCTATATTATCTCAATTGTCAAGCCACGCTTTAAGTTTAAAGTTGAATTTTAATTTTTTATATTAACACTAACTTGTCAAACATGGGTAGTGTAGTGACATAGAATAGGGTGGTTGCAAAATGAGTTATTAAACGGGTTTGTTGTCATTGTTTTTTTAATATTGTGCAAATTATAAATTTATAACTATCATATTCTTTTTATAACTCTTGCAATTTGAATGCCGCAAGCCTTTCTTTCTAAGACCAAAGATAGATACCAGCCATCTTCTATATGTTGGAAGTAGAATTTTTTATTTGAATTCTCAAAATTCTCTCTCATTTTATTAAACATGATTTGTTTTTGACTTTTAATGACTTTAATTTTCCCTGCAAGTAAGGTTTGTTTTGAGATCTCCTCCTACTATAAAACATAAACTAAAGACACTAATTTATATAATTTATCGTGAATTTCAACCATTCCCCTTTGAAATCTATACAAAAAATTTTTTAACTATAATTATTGTTGATGCAGTGAAGCTAGAGTTGAAGATAATGAAGAAAGTGTGCAAGTTTTATGTTACATGAATGTGAGTCTTGCTTATTCTTTGATTTTTTTTTTTACTCTTTTAATTATGAGTTTGAAGATATGGACTAAAATCATCATTTCTACGAACTTTGTTTATGTGCTTATTTTGTTTACGTGTTATTTAAGTATTTTTTAGCTTTGTATTAGAAATATGTGTTCTCTTTTATTGTCCCTTTTCAAATTCATCTTTAAATATTGTTTGTCTTATCCATTCTTTAATATCATCAAACTATTTGTAATTACTTTTTTCATAACCACATTTCAATGTTTGTCATTTCCTTTCCTTTAGATTCAAGTTCCAATGCCACCTCATTGATGCATATGAGATAAATTGTAATTTGGTTATTTTTTATCATAAAATCTCTAGCTTGATGAAATGTAACGCTACTTGAGTTAAAAGGGATTTGGTTCTTTAAGTAATTGTATAGCTTTCAAATTTTAATGGGACATTGTATTGGGCCACATTGAATTTGAGTATAAATTATTTTTTTTATAGCAACTAAAATGTCAATATGCCCCTAGAGTTCACATCATATATATATATATATATATATATATATATATATTTATAAACTTTGTAGGTAAGAAATTGTTGTTCAAGGTATCCTTTGTCAGGGAAGCTACTTCATTATATCTTATGATTGATATGAACATTCTCTATTTATGAAATCCATAACAATATTTGTTCAATGTTCTTATCGATCTTTTCTTTTAACTAATGAATATTTTGCACTGGAGAGTTTTTGCAAATTGAATCTGAAGACGCAAATTCTTAAAGCTTATTATCAATTGACAAGCATGGACTAAACATCTCATTTGAGAAAAATGAGCATGCACTTGCCATTGCTAATATTTCCAACAATGCTAAAAGACAATTCAGATGGAGCTAGTGGATTAGCAATATGTTTCTTTTCATGTTTTAGTGTTTCTACTAATATTTCTTTATTTATAGGAATTTAGAGTTAAAGTTTAAGATTCTTTTGCTCTTTACCAACAAAGTTTAGGATTCAAACATTTTCTTTGTCTACAGTTCGTCGCTAGCATGTGTAAACAATATTTCTTATTATAACATTTATAATGATGTTCCTCCCTACTTTGTACCAACCATTTCCATGTCAAACAATGGTCATGGAAAAACTGATTTACCAATATTTTTTAAAATTGAAAACTATTTCATGTGTTAAAATATAGGACATCATATTTCATTTTTAAACATCAATAAAGTTAGGATTCTTTCTCTTAAAAAAGTTATTTATATTATTTGATAAGTTTTAAATGCTAGAGTTTCCTCACTCTTATGTATGTTTTACTAAAAACAATTAGTGAGAGAAAAACAACACCAAAGAACATACAACAATAGAAGCATGTTTGTAATATATATATATATATATATATATATTAAAAAGTATTTAGATATTAGCTAAAAAGCTACCTTCACTTAATAAAATTTTAGATTTTTAATTTTTTAATTATATTTTTTTCACATCCTGTGTTTTGCATGGGCCAAATACTAGTTACTTCTAAATCTCAATCTCTTGTAAATAATATTAAAGTTTTGCTTGTGAACGAAACTAGGGAAGTAATTAATTGTTTATTTGAGATCACTTAATTATAATTTTTCTAAACTAATTTTCTTTTGAATATTTACACAATGCATTGAAAGAACATAAGAATTTAAAAACTTTTGAGACTTGTGGACTAGATCTAATATTTTATAAAGCATATACTATTAGTTTCTAGTTTAATTTGTTTTATGAATAAAGTAAATTTTTACACAACATATTTTTAAAATTATATTGGTCATTGAACCATGCGAAGCATTAGTACAATGGTCAATTGATAACAACAACAAACCTTATCTCGTCTAGTGAGATCAACTATATAAATTATATAATGTCATTATATTCTATTATCTACCAAACTTTCAGGAATATTTCAACTAAAAAATCTCATTTAATAATTTTCATAGGTATTTTCTCTAATTTTTTTCTACTCTTTATAGGGCTCAAGATTATTCTTTCCACCCTTCTCACTAGATCCTCTCATGGTCTTCTATTAGTATATTTAAATGATCTCAAATGATTTTCTATAATTTTTCTTTCAATAGATATCATACCTACTTTTTTTGTATATAATTTAAATTTTATTTGTTTGTATATGCCTATATATCCATATTAACATTATCATCTCTTTCATGCCAACTTCATGTTGTTAATATTCTTTTAAAATCTAATATTTATTACCACATAATATAACTGATCTTATAGCAATTTGATAAATTTTCCTTCAAGTTTACAGTAAAAATAAGAGGAAGACGAGAAATAGCAGAAGCCACCTATTGATTTGCAAATTAGAATTCAAAAAACCATGACACGTTGACATGCTCGATTCAATTGTTATCAAATAAGACGTAAGTGTAACATTGGTCATTGATGGCGTACAAGGGTTGATGCCCTAAAGCCCATTTACTCTAAAGTCGATTATTTTTCTAAGCTAGCCCTTATTAATCGAGGTTTAGAGTCAGCCCAAAAATTATTTTTTAAAAAATATTTTTTTAAATTAAGTTAACATTATAATTATAATCTTATATATTCATTATCTAAAATATAAATTATAATGTTTTAAAATCTAAAGTAGGTAATATAAATAATAATTTTAAAGTAAAAGCACATGTTCTAAAGTTTAAATTTAATTAATACAAAACTTTAACAGAACATATTTTTTAAGCTTAAAATAAATACAACTTAAACAAGTAGCTAAAACCTTTTTGTTTAACGATTAAACTAGCCATGTTCATAAGCCTTTTTATATAGAAGCTTCTCAATTTTCAAAGCTAAGCCTAAAAAAAAACCTAAATGGTTAGCTTAACAACCTAATTTATACTTCCAACTCTAAGATGGTTAAAGATAGAAATGTAAAAATCACATCCAATAAATTAATTTATACCATTACTAATCAAATCCCTAGAATGAAAGATTTCTTTCCAAGGCTAGTACAATTCGTGTCATTGAAAGCAACCCACCTTCAATTCTATAAGGTCAAAGGAGTTTTTTTTTTATTTTTTCCCCGTCAAAAGGTCGAAGAAATTGATGTTCGACTGTCATGTTGGTGTTGAGGATAATGATCCTCCCACGTGTCCATTGTTTGGATCGACATTGAGAGGGAAGAAGGTCCAATAAATTGGACCAACAGAAGATTAGATCACCA